TCGTGTAAGACGCTGTCGGCTCTCCCATAGCCGTTGGCCCCGTTCACGGCCAGTGTACGCACATTGTAGGTTGCTACCCTAACAAGTCGACCCTGCCGCCTCTGCCGGGCGGTGCGTGCTGCATCCCTAATCAGCCTACGCACCTTCCGGCCCCTCCTCCTCTTCTTCCTTCCTTTTTTTATTTTCTTTATTTTTATTGCTCTGCGGATCCTCGGGTTAATGTAAGAGTTAACCCGGTGCTTGCCTTTCCCAGCGAGGTGTCTTCCTGTCCCGGAGCGGCGTGGCTCTCCAGCTCTGGACCCTTTCCGTCCCCCTGTTGGGTGCTTACCCACACGGTGTGCGATCATCCCGCCACCCTCTCCGTGCTCTCCACCGCTGCCTTGCCCCGGTGTCCAAACCGGGGCATTTGGGTTCAAACCCATCGGCAGCTGTCTCCAAGTTGGCTTATCACGACCTACCTCGATCTCGTGACCGCGGTAACTCCCGACCGCCAAACTCAGGATCCTCTCCTACACGGTGCTAGGGACCGTATATCCGTCGTTGTTGGGTGGTTTTTTCGAGGGTTAACTGCACTTGCGGGCCTCGGCCTCCCCCGGGGAGGGGAGGAGGGGGGAGGCGGAGAGTGTAAGTATCACTGATACGCTACCCCAAAGGGTCAAATAACTTTTTTTTTTTTGGTAGTTGTTAAAAAAACGGCGTAAAACACCTACTGCCCGTGAATACCCATACGCACAACCTCTCATTCCTCCCTTGTCAAACACGAATGATAAAACATGCATGAAATGATGAACTCTGTCTAGACTATATTTACAAGTATGGTCCACGCTGCCTACAAATGGGAGAGGTAGCCATACCTCCTACCTACACACGGACGAGAGAGGTGAACACACCCACTGCATTTAACACACACCCACATGTCGGTTATGAAACCTCATCAACCACACGCCTCTGTCGGCGACCACGTCATCAGGAGGCAATGATGAGAAATGTTCTCCCGTGCCCTTCTCACGTTTAACGACATGAAATTCCACAACATAACCTATATGAGACACACAACACAGCTACCAAACTGATCTTTTGAGCCTGTCACCCGAGAGTTGTCCCTATATGCTGTCTAGGAAATCGTAGACATACAGGTAGTTTTCTCTGACCCTATGATTCCATTGTTAATCTGTCTCTGACTCTTTTCTATGATAGAGATGGACTCGTTGTGTCATATTAAGAAAAATAAAAAAAATCTATAGACTAGGTTTGAAAAACGAGTGATTTACTGCTGTAGCCTTCTTTCCATCTTCCATGATTTTACATCAATATTATTATGTATTTCTCCTTAAATTCCTAAAACCAGCAAGCTGTCAAAAGACACTGCGCCGTGTCCCCTGTGAAGGTTACATCTTACAGTACACGACACTACGGAGGGATTCTCCTCGATATTTTGTCGTTGACCCAGTAGAGAACTACAGGGGATGTATTGTAAAATGTAGATTTACCTATTCAGATGTTTTTTGTGCTTAGCACCAGCTGGCATCACTGATAAATCATCAGTGTATATTGTAGACTTATAAAGACTCGAAATAAGTCCAGTACCCAGCCGGTTTTCCTCCNTCAGATGTTTTTTGTGCTTAGCACCAGCTGGCATCACTGATAAATCATCAGTGTATATTGTAGACTTATAAAGACTCGAAATAAGTCCAGTACCCAGCCGGTTTTCCTCCACTTACTGAAAAGACTCCACCACATCCCGTTCGACTGTGGGTATATCTCGAATGGGTAGTCTCTCTGTGCGTGTATGTATTTCTCCTTAATAGTAAAGATGGTTGAATATGGGACATGGATCTACGAAGATTGCAATAATGGGTAGATTGCGGAGGAACAGGGAGTTTCTACTTGGTTTCTTCGGAGATTCGATGAGTGATCTGAATTGCGTGACGGATGGGTGTTGTGACTTTCTCTTTCGGGTCCTCGGACACGAGTGATCTCTGCTGTGCCCTCTCCCCTCTAATACAAGACTTTCTCATTTCGGCCCTCACTGGCCGAGCTGCCTTCTCCCACAAACCCACAAGCTTCAGCGTACCCGGTTCCGCGGCGGGAGGAACGGCCGGAGGACCCGCGGTGGCGGCCGGAGCGGCAGCATCGGCGGCAGCTCCAGCGGCGACGGCGGCGACCTCCGGTGGCAGTGTTCCCCCCGCGGCGGCGGCGGGGGGGATGGCCGGAGGCCCCGCGGTGGCGGCCGGAGCGGCAGCATCGGCGGCAGCTCCAGCGGCGACGGCGGCGATCTCCGGTGGCGGTGTTCCCACATGCACCACGAGCACCGCCCCCTCGGTCGGGCACTTGCTCTTGTCGTGCCCGTGCCCTTGCATGTCTCACATCGCACGGGCTTGCTCTCGGTGCAGTCGGCCACCTGGTGGCCCTTCTTGCCGCACCGGAAACAGCGACCGCGCATGCTACTCGCATCGTCGTCGCCGCCTCCGCCGCCGCCTCCGCCGCCGCCACCAGCCTTCGCACCACCCCCTCTCCCCTTCTGGTTGCCGTTGCCGCTGCCGCCGCCGCCGCCGCTGCCACCCTTGCGGTGGCCACCGTTGCCGCGGCCCGGCGCTCCTCCCCCACCGCTACCGTCGCTCGCGAGGAGAGCGTGCTCCGCCCTCCGCTGTCCCTTCGAGGCCTTCCTCCCCTCCGGAAGGCTCGCGTGCACCGTGCTCACGATTCTGACGATCTCGGCCCTATCCAGCGCCGTTGCTGTCTCCAACAGGAACTTCGCTTGTTGGTACTCGGGTGGGAGGGAACCAACGAAGTGGGCGAGTGCCTCAGCGATGAGCCCTTTGTCGCGTAGGCGTGAGTACAGCAGCTCGAGCGAGTACAGGTGTTCGATGGGNAACGTTGCTGTCTCCAACAGGAACTTCGCTTGTTGGTACTCGGGTGGGAGGGAACCAACGAAGTGGGCGAGTGCCTCAGCGATGAGCCCTTTGTCGCGTAGGCGTGAGTACAGCAGCTCGAGCGAGTACAGGTGTTCGATGGGGTTTCTGGTGCTGTGTGTGGGGATCGTGAAGTTGAACATTTGCTTCATGAGGGCTTGTTTCGAGCCCTGCGATTCTGGATCGTAGATTTTGTCGAGTTCCGCGAGGATCTCTTTTGCGGTCTCGCATTTGTTCACGATCGCCTTGTCGGCTTCTCTGACGGTGGCAGTGGTCACAAAATGGAACGCTTGGAGGCCCCTCTGGACCTCGTCGATGGTGCATTGGAGGCGGTACAGCTCCGAGCTTGGCAAGTTTGGGTTGCCGACAGGTGCATGTCTCCCGTTGTTGCCGATCAATTGGCCGTCCAGTCCTACAGTCTTGGCCGCTTGGATAAACGATTTTCTCCACGAGTCATACCCATGGCCGCGACTCTCCCCTTCGAGACGCGGGGCATTGACTTTTACTCTATTCATGTGGCTACTGCTGTAGCCGTCGAGGAATTCTCCATTTCCTCGAATCACGGGTATCTTACCTGGAGGGTTGACCCCCCTCGCTTCCCCGTAGTCCGGTCCTATGCCCGGGCCCACCCCGGCTGGCCCAACAGGGTTCGCTCCCGATCTGCTGACCCTTCCGCCTTCCAGCAGCTGCCGTCGTCCTTGCCCACTATCTCTTGCTTGCTGCTGGAGAAATCCCCTGCCTCCGCCGTGCGGCTGCAGGGGCTCTTGGCCTTCGGGGGCAGCAACCCAGCCGCCCCTACTGGCTGCATCCGCCACGACGCTGCCAGGCTCCTTCTTCTTCNGCTGTCGCACGCATATTTCGGCGCGCAAAAGTCTGTGGGGCATTGCTGATCGATACTGCCACCGGTCACACCAAGAGAGAAACATCCGCCGTCTTGCTCTTTCTGAGGCATCCCCCGCTCAAGCCCATGTTCCCCCAGAACCCCGACACTGCCACCCCTTGTTCCTACTTCCTTGCCACCTGCAACCACAAGGGCCAAGCCCTCCCCCCTCAGCACTCCCGACACCGTATCGAACAGAAATCCGCTTTCCACCGAAGTGGTTAGGTTAAAGCTGTCGCACGAATATTTCGGCGCGCAAAAGTCTGTGGGGCATTGCTGATCGATACTGCCACCGGTCACACCAAGAGAGAAACATCCGCCGTCTTGCTCTTTCTGAGGCACCCCCCACTCAAGCCCATGTTCCCCCAGACCCCGGTATTGTGTTTTTTGTAAAATGTCAGGTGAACAATGTATCGCCTAGGGGATGGCACGCCCTTTAGAGCGTGGCCCAACCCTGGCGGGGGGGATTGTGGTTCGCACATCATCACCGATCTTCGTCGGATCAAGTCCGGGGTTCCCGCCGGAACAGCCCGCGTGGAACGGGAACAACTCGCCAGCGTCCGCAAGCTTCGCCGCGACGTAGCCAGCCTCGGACGGGCACAGATCCACCCCACCGTGGAGCGTGGGCAATGTACTGACGACTTCACCTTTGGCACCGCCAAAGTACAGGAGAACCCCATCGAAGAAATGTTGACGAACCCTCTCCCACTCATCTTGAAGAGTGAGACTTGGGTGAAGGTGGCGGAACATGAAGGTGGATATTGGGACGGGAAGCACATGGAGGCCGCGGCTGTCGTATCAGGTGTATAAAGCTTCAGACTCGTGAAGGCGACGAAAGCGGGAGAACTCGTTCCGTGCTACGGCGCGAAGGACCTGCAGCCACATTCCCCGATGGCGATATGGCAGCCATCTGGGCCCTTTGAGGCCGTGTTCCAGGACGTACCGCAGCCGGCAGCAAAGGAGCCCACCGCCCGGGAGGAGGCGGCCGCCCCCGAGGAGCCCACCGCAGCCACGGAGCCCGCCGCAGCCAAGGAGCCTGTCACAGCGAAGGAACCTGCCGCCCCGGAGGAACCCGCCGCCCCTGAGGAGCCCACCGCAGCCACGAAGCCCGCCGTAGCCAAGGAGCCCGTCGCAGTGAAGGAGCCCGCCGCCCCCGAGGAACCCGCCGCAGCCAAGGAGCCCGTCGCAGTGAAGGAACCCGCCGCAGTCAAGGAGCCCGCCACCCGCGAGGAAGCCGGCCGCAGCCAAGGAGGGTGGAGACGGCCGGGTTCTCGTGGGAAAAAATAGGCGCCCAGCAACCGCGGGTAGTGGTGGTGGTGGTGGTGGCGGCGGCATGGATGGGCGCGTCGAGAGAAGCAGGGCCATCGACAAGGTGTGAACGATTTACGCAAGCTTTTCAATGTCGACAGGCTAAGCATGCAATGCTGCGCGTGTATAGAATCGACAAAATGTTCTGATGGGAAGCGTTTTTTGTTGTTTCCGTACAGGGCTCGAGCCTATCAGCCAACATTGATACCGGCAACATTTACACCTCGCTGGATTGTGGGGAAGAGGCGGACGACGTGGGGAAAGGAGATGGCGAGGGGAAGGAGACGGACGAGGCCATGGAGGACGCGGCGGGAGCACACGTGGGGTCGGGGGTGGGGACTGGGGTGGAGAAGGAGGAGACCAAGGTTAGGGTTGGCTTTACTGATCCGCACGGCTTCGATGGCAGGGGGGTCGAGATGATCCGCACGGCGGTTTGGACGATTTTCAGTGGAGTTGGAGGTGTGATCGATCGCATCGCGACTGCTCCGTTTGGCCGCGTCGAAACGGCGGACAAGACACGCCCGGTGAGAAAAACTTCTCCGCGTTTGAAACTATGTCGATCATCGCCGGTAAATGACCACAGATCGTGACCACAGACCATTATTTAGCGGTATCCGATGTCCTATTAACTCAATTTGACTACAAGGCTCACAGTGGATTGTTTCTTCACTTGCCTGTGGTCGCAGCGCGGCGCCTCGGGCGCCACCGACCAGCACGGAGACCAAGACATTACCGACGATGACAGCGAGTCGGAGGAGACGACACCCGACGGCAGCGACAACGACGGCACAAGTGCTCGGCATGCGACTTCCAGTCCGGTAAATAAATGTGTCGCGAAAATATTGGATTGGCTTGCTCTGCTGTATGGAGACGTGTAGCCAGAGTCTTGTTACAGATCTCCGGACTCTCCATTGAGTTGTAAAAGGTAGGGCCTTTGTTGGCACGGAAAACAGTCGAGAGCTGTGCGTTTGCGAACCCGGCACTTTCCCCCACCCATAGTTCGCTCTCCCCATACTGTATGCCCTACATTCCCGACTTGACAAGATATCAATCCTATTTTTCGGATTACGTCGCAGGCCAACGCCCCTCATCGCCGCACGTCTCGTCGGAGGCGCACTACTCGTCGACGCCATGGCGCCCGGTGCGGCCGCACCCCCCGCAAATGCCGAATCATCCGCGGCAGGCGGTACCACCCCGACATTTTTTTCGGAACCGACTTCACCCCGACATTTTTCGGGTTGACTTCGTACTTTATGTTCACGTCGTATTACGATTATAACACTAACCCAGAGAACCATGGGTTTCTGAAGGCCCTGAGCGAGAATGCAGTAAAAGATGGAGCTGTTGCCGGGATGGCTTTGGAAAGGGAAGAGTTGATCAAGTTTGTCGCCCTCGCTTACTTTAAACAGCACCAGGCGCTATTTTTGTATCCACCCGGGAACCAGGTAGATCCTACTGTTGATCCCAAACAACGTGGAGGGGCGATTGATGAAGCAAGTGCGTGGGTTGCTGCCGTCCACAAACGCACATCCGAGTCGGCTTTCGGAAAAGGGCAAGTGAGTGCTGCTGCCCCTAACTACGACGTTATCGACCTTTGTGCCCTTCGGATGGAATGGCTAATAGAGTTTTGACCCTCGATTGTGCCGGTTAGTGCTGCAGGCGCGGGAGCCTCAGAAAACTACCCCATTTCAGTTCCCGAATGGCACGATAAGGGGTACTTGAAGAACTCAGCAGCAGACGGTGGTTGTATGATGCTGTTGCGCAGGGAGCCGAAGGTTACTATCTGGCCGGGCGGGGTCGAGACGGTCAAGTGTACATGTTCGGATGTGCCGGGAAAGGGTCAATGTACGAAATTCGTCTGCATGCAGAAAGGGTCAATTTGCTCAGAGCTGTGCAAATGTAAACGCGCTTGCTGCATAGAAGCGGCCGATGATAGAGTCATGCAATTCGATAGAGGTGGGGGGGAATCATCTGAAGAAGCGAGCGATGACGATCAATCCAGTGATGAGGGTGACGTTTTGCCTGGTGTCGGCGGTTTGGGCGGGGCAAGAGCAGTTGATTGTATCGCCGGGCGGAATGGTTGTTGACTCGTGCAGGGAGGGGACAAATGAAGGGTCTGTGTAACGTGTGATGAAAAAAAAAACTGGAATGTTGGTGTTTCGAGCGGAACATCGGAGGTATGGAAAATGGTTTACATTGATGCATGTGAAGTCGAGGATGAGTACCGTGTTCTCATACACCTCTTGCTCACGGGGTGCACCTACCCGCCAACGTCAACAGCGGGTACATGGAACACCCGCTTTCTATCTTGCATCGTATCATTCAGCACCCGCAGAATCAGAACTGCTGTACACTCAACTACCTGCAGGGTGTACCTGTGTAGGCGAAGCTGCGATGCACTTCCACAACATTCAACCCACAAAAGTCCGTGTGGTGACTGAACCGCGGGCGGTTTTGAGTCTATATTTTCGAAGTTTTTTTATGGAGCGCAAAATTAGCACCCTTCGCGGAACACGCAGATATAGACCATTCTGCACTCAATCAACGCCACCGACAAACAACATTCTTGGAACATCAGGTCGCCCGGCGGCCCTCCTATAAGCACCCTCTACTCAGGGCAGAACACAAGCCTCGATCCCCCGCTCTTGCCGCAGCCTCCATCGGTGTACCACACGCCCCAAAATTATCCGACCTTCACATGGTGAGCATGTGTGTACTTAGCTCTCCGCAAAAAAGCGCACATAACCGGCGGGGGCGATCTATTAGCCAGCTCCGGTCGGCACAGGGTTCCAGGAACGATAGCGGCAATTTTAGCGCCACGCCTTTCGCCGCTACCGCCAAAGCCGCCTTGACAAACCCCACAGCACCCTGTTACGGAGGGCTCGTGACGACCCAGTCAGGTTGCTTTCCGGGATGGGCTTTGAGAAAATCACTCGGAAAAGAAAGCAGGCTCGCGTCCAGGTTGGAATCTGGCGATAGCCTTTTGTGGCCACAGAAACATACGAGGGAGTCAAGGTGTGAGTATTTTGCCTTCAACTAGAGGGATATTGATGCATACTGATACACAGAACTGCTGGACACCAAACATCGAAAACGACATTACTCGAAAACCGGACCTCCTTACCTCGAGCCCACGTCGTTCGTGAGAACTTCACACGTGCCCCCAAAGCCCAATGCCACCGCGGCTTCAGGTCCTCCGCACATGTCCAAAACACAACCCATTATATCAACAGCATCCCGCAAGGCGTCCACCGCCCCCGGCGAAGTACAGTACCGATCCAACCGCCGGCGTTTGTCGTGCGTGACAGGTTCAGGAGCGGCGCTCCAGGTCCGGCTGTGGCGCGGAGTCTGCTCTGCTTTCCACGCTACGCGTTCCCTGCTTCGTGCCCGCTCGTGCTTCTTGTACAGCTCCAGCAGATAACCCGAACGTTTACATAGTGCGACCAAGTTTGAGCCCATGGCTCCCGACTGAAAGCCGGGAAATCTGTCTGCTATACCAGCCTCGTCTACAAAACCCCGAACTAATTCCCCTGTCCTAGCCCTGGTGTGCCTAAAGTCTTCTCCGCATTGAAGGCAAGCGCTGCAGCGGTGGTGCTGCTGCTGCTCTGCATGATGTGAAGGAATCCTGTCGAAATTTTGGCAGATACACAATCAAGGGCGCGGCGGTGTGTCCCATGGATGTTTGGAAAGCTGTTCACAACATAATCATCCCATGAAAACCATGATCAGCGAGCAGCAAAGCTGTAAAGCACGTCAACTCTGCGGGTGTCGACGACCGCACCTGTCCCTAGTTTCGAGGTTCCGCCGCATGTTGTCCACAACTAACGGCAAGGATGATCACGCGTTCTGTAGTGCCGATCCCAATTTTACCCGGGTGTTTTCACCCGGGTGTTTTCAATACCTAACCCATCAAGACGCACAACATTCAACGTTCATCCAGTCGAAACCCAAGAACAACAATCCTCCTGCAAATGAATCCCGACAGAACACCAAAACCAAATCAAATCCAATGCCAAAACAACTTTCGCAAATCCTAATGCTAGAACAATCCAATACCAAAGAAAGTCAAAATCCAATCCAACATCAAAGTCCAACCCAGTATCAAAACAAAACATTCGAAAACCCTCCAATTCGATACCAAAACAACTAACACTCGAAACCCCTACATTTGCTCGCATCAAGCTCCAGCGCTTAACCCATCGCCCAAGCCCTTGTTTCTCTAGGGCGGATATTTCGCATGCCTTCGCCGCGGTCGCCTTCCGCCATTCATCTTTTCTGGCTGGCCGCGACTCGAGCTTGGATGTTTGCGTCCGCCTAAAGTGGGGGAAGAGCAATTGTCGCTCCCGGAGGATTGACTTGGCGGTGGTGCAGGGCAAGTCGCACGTTTGGAGGGGAAGATGGCGGCAGATTAGTTCCGAACAAACCAGCACTACTGAGGAGAATCACATACCACGAACATTCCCCCCGGTTGTGCACAGTAGTGACTGCAGCAGAAAAAGCAACAAATGAACCACATTTTCAAGTCGTCGGACCCTACTTGTGGAATGGTTTGTCTGAAATTACCGATCACTGCGACATTGCCACTCCGTAGTCTAAATAGCTGAATATCATCCTGTCACGGAGGTTGATCAGTCCTCGATCACAAAATAATAATACAGTCGCTGCTCCTGTTCCAACCATAAGGTCATCAATCCTAAGTCAAAACCTTAATAACTTGGAACCGCAATTTCACAACAAAGAGCAACCTCAAGACAACGTATACAAGTAACAGTATTCGGAAATCAGCATATATTTCGTCAATATTGTGGATTTTTTATCTGCAACACGGTGGAGGTACCATCAATGTTGCACGTCGCTGAGACTTCACACGTCTCTGGTACTCGCTGACTCAAGCAAGACATGGAAAGTTTTTGATCAGGTTAAAGCTGCTACCCAAAGAGAGTCAAGATAAATCGTTGATGACGCATTTTTGATCAGGCTAAGCATGCTCCTCAAAACGTGGCTACCAAAGAGAGCCCCGATAAAACGTTGGTCACGCTGTTGCCGGGGAGAGAAAGTTGGTCTCAGCACGGCTGTCAGGAAGACAAAGCACAAAACCTCGCCAATCACTGCATTACATTACGCACAATACTATTTCTAATATCATGCTACACACACACATCATATCATCAGTTTCGAAACTGGCATCAGTTTTGTGGATTACTGGTAACCTGGGTTAGGTCTACCCATTTGCTGCAGGTAGTCGACCTTTGACCGAGCGGTGGAGTTTGACGGCAGTACCGCACGACGTATTGTCGCGTTTTGATTGAGTAAGCGTTGGAGTTTGTCGGCATTACCGCGCGACGTAGTGCCGCGATTATACTTGAGCAAGAGTAGGAGAGAGAGTTTGACGGCAGTGTCAGGTGGAGCTCGAGTTGGAGTAGGCGTTGGCGTTTGACGGCAGTACCGCACGGCGTAATGCCGCGTTTAGAATCTGACGGCACCATGTATAGGTGTACCGCATCACTGCATGGGTGTACACATGACGACAGCAGTCCAACACTGACAAGTCATCACGTGCCTGTTCATGACTACAACCCCAGTAGACGGCGAGGCGCAGCTGACGATGACGCTGCTGTAGGTCTTGGGGGTGCTGCTGCCGTGCAGGCACTCGCCGTTGGTGGCCCCTTCGTCTGTCGTCAGCCGCGCACGCGGCTGCCCATCGGTGCTACCAATCTCTGGTTGTTTTTGTTGTCGTTGCTGTTGTTTTTGTTCACGTTAAACTCGTGTTAGTTGCTAATCCCAAAATCTAGCGAAGACTCGGTCGGTGCTCACCAAAATGCTAGACCCATCAGAAGATCTAAAGGACACACACTGGTTCGCTCTTACCCAATCACCCTCGACAAAGTCGTTCAACGCTAGCATGTTGGGTAAACAAGGTAGGCCGAAGCTTGTTGGTTTGTAGAGAAAGGCCAGTGAGGTCCGAGATGAGAAATTCTTGTATTAGAGGAGAGCGGGGACAGCAGAGAACACTCGTGTCCGAGGACCCGAAGGAGAAAGCCACAACACCCATCCGCACGGTCACGCAATTCAGATCACTCATCGAATCTCCGAAGAAACCAATAGAAACTCCCCGTTCCTCCGCAATCTACCAATTACAATCTCCGTAGATCTATGACCCACATTCAACCATCTTTACGATGCTACGAGTATATCTAACATTGACCCTATTACCCACGGGGGAGATGTCGCTGTATGCTGCTCGGGAAATCATGGAAACACAGGTAGCCTTCACTGACGCTATGGATTCATTGCTAATCTGTCTTGAACTCTTTTCTTAGAGATGGATTCATTGTGTTATATTAAAAAATATATAATAGAGATGGATTTGTTGGATGATCTTTTGCTGATATGAAAAAAAAAAATACTGGAAGAAGCATAAATGTAACTACCCAGCAGTCCAGTCTACTGAGATAATCTCCTTCTCGCACCATTGTCTACAGCTTTTAGATACCAACGAAGCTTCCGGCTACACAGGCGACCAGTCAGCGCTAATCGAGAGGGTTTGGTAGACTAGCGAATCAGCATCGATATCGACGGGGTTGAAACGGCCGTGCTCCTGCGACGCCGCACAATCCTCGGTACAGATTCGATCCTCCGTCGTCGCAAAGTCACTAAGTGTGCTGTGCAGTGGAATCATGTAATTGGCCGACACACTACAACCACAATGCCAGCTTCTCCTCCAGGTTCGCCAAGGGTGGGGCGCCACGTTTCGCGGGGTTGGAAGAACGCGTTCTTGGTGAAAGCCAAGGGTACAAGCGTCAACCAAGAAGTGCTCGCTGGAGTGATGGGATGGATGACCGTTGTGTCTTCCGTAAAATTTTGTAAGTGCGAACTGCTGTGTACCGTAGCAGCAGGACGGTTGGAGGGTTCTCGATCATCGAATGCTGTGTTCGACCAATAGTGTACTACAGCAGTTCATGTAGTAGGCGATACGCCCTCCATTCCGATGCACCACAAAAGCAATGTGCGTGTGATGTCCGGTACCCATGAACCACCCGGTCGATATCCTGCTTGGTAACGTCAGCGGCGATACACAAAAATGCCACGAACGATTGGGGATCAGGTTCACCGCGCGAGGGCGTGGGCACCAACATGGTTCACACTCTTCTCATGTAGCGATGCAAAGACACAAGCCAAAATTAATCAAGTTGTGAGACCTGCCAGAGATTTCAACCCCCGGTTCCCGGCACGATGCTTCGACAATGTGTGTTGATGTTGTTGTGTTGTTGTCGTTGAGCCGTGGTCGTCGTGATCACTTCACCTACATGCGCTTTACATGCATCCACCTCCTCTGAGCCCTACCTTTCAAGGCAACGGAACGTACGTCCAAAGGAACGAGCTAATGGCCCAGTCAACAATGCCGCTCTACGACTGGCTGTCGTGCATCCTCAACTCGCCTGCAGACGCCACCTTGTTTGTGGGGGATGACGACGTGGACCAGAGTGCGATCGCCGAAACCTTCCTGCTCGTCGCGGGGTTGTCCTCCATAGGTTTTGGTGTGGTCTTCAACGTGCCGTTCATCGTGGCCCCTTCGGTACTTTACGCTGGTCGTGAAGCTGGGTACGTAAATGTAGATGCTGGTCGGTGTAGACTAGGCACCACTAATAGTTGGAAAGCTATACATATGCCGACGAAAGAGTTTTTCGGATCGCCCAGCAGAAAGGTTCTCCTCTATTCGCAAATCGTGACAGAGAACGTAAAGCAAGTGTGGAAGCAGTACTGGTCGGATCACAACTTTCAATACCGGACGACACCCGACATCGTATGGCAAAACACAAAGGAAACTGGTTGATATTAGCTTGCTGACGTAAAGTATGCGTACCTTTGATCTATTTGCAAATACTCTACATATAGTCTACACGCATCAACTTGTTGCGTTGCAAGTGTCGTTTGAGACACCGATAAGACCTGTATCCGAGTCGAACGTATCAGAAACACTGAGGAACCGTACGAACTACCGCTTTCCTTACGACTTCGGTCTGCCCCGAGCAGCATCAGCATCGGCGGGCACCTGGCAGCGCAAGCCGTGGCAAACCTGGCAGCGGCGGCGTTCTTCACAATCGCTCTAAAAATCAGTTTCGTATCGTACATACCGACCGCACTGCGGCTCGGAGCTGGGTGCGGGATTTCGATGCTCGTTAGCGTCCTCGGCATGCGCAACCTTGGGCTTCTAGTCACCAACTCGTTCACGCTTCAGCCCCTCACCTGGCAAATCGTGAGTTGAAGCTGTCCACCACTTGATCGTAGCGAAGGGAGTGTGTGCCTGAAAGTCGCCCATCGTAGTTTTGGGGGCGATGTCGTTAACTTTAACCTAATAACAATCGGTCGATACGTGTTCACCGACGAAGCACTGCCATACAGAAGGCGATCATTTCCTTTCCACCTATGTTCCAGTGCATACTGCCGCTTCAAAAGCGTGCCAGCTTGGATAGCTGCACTCCAGAGAAGCAAAATGATTTCAATGTGAGGTGTACAACGAAAAACGTGGGTCCAATTGATGAGAGCAGACCAAGGCAGGCACATGAGGAAGATGCCAAAGAAGTCATATTTTGCGCTTCCTGTTAGCAGATACACTATCAGTATCAAATGTAGCAACTTCTGTTTTCTATTCGACGCACAACTCGCCTTTTGCCGTGATCGCAGCAGGGTGCGTCACGATATGCAGTTATCGATGTACTTGTGAAACTAAGAAGCTAGCAGCGTTCAACTCTCGTGCCAAAGGTTTCTCTCACTCACTTGGTAATTTCCGTGCGTTAACAGGTGGTCGGACTTGCCATCATATCCGCCGCTTCCACCAAGGTTTCAAACTCAAACAACAGCATGCGCAAGTGGATGTGGATTATCGGACTTCCGATGGTATTGACAGTTCTAGTTTACGCCGTGGTCGACCGCTCGAAGTTTCAAGGGTACTCCTTGGCCGAAAAAGCTCCCTTGTCCAACTGGAGAGGTGGAAGCATGGGCACATTAGACTTTTCTGCATTCGGGAACGCCCCGCAGAAGCACTGGTTCTACATCATCAGGATGTTTGTCAGCATCGTCATCAATATTTCCAGCATTTTGCTCGTCTTGATCGACGCGGTGTGCCTGAATGTGAGACTTTCCTACCGGTAGGAGCATCGTCCGATCAACTGTGTGCAGAAGTACGGTAGTCTTCCGGAAACTGCTATCATCGCCGTCAAATGCCCGAGGACGCTAACCGCTGCACGTCACGGAACTGATCTTGTTCTGCAGAAGCAAAGAATGTGCTCGTGCATTTCCTAATGTATTTCTCAGGATGTGCGTTCCAAGGTGAAGTCTACCGTAGAGGTCGACTTCTCCAATGCTATCGGAGGGACCAAAAAGGTAACCCAGAGAATTGCCACGCACAATGTATTTTTCTCGCATGCTTTCAAGATCTCAATCTACAGCACGATTGAGAGGGGTGAAAAAGACTATCAAACCACAAGCAGATGCCGCGACTCTCAAGTGTTGGACTCCACATGACTGTACAAACTTCGACGACATGGCGTGATGAGAGGAATCCATGTTTCGAGCATTATTCTGCGTGTACCGCGTCGAGCGATGCCCGACTTACTCCTAAAAATCTGAACGGCAATCTCCTGTCTTCGGTTTCTATCATGGGCTGACCCCCCCCCTCGCCCCCGCAAACCTTCGGCACGAAGTTCCGTTCCATGGCGTTCGCCGTGCCATTGATGTCCTTCATCGGGAACCTCATGGGCGTCACCACCCAGGCCGCGTTTGTCCAATCCATGATCGTCGTGTTTGCTGGTGGGCGAACGGGTCTAAGTGTCGTCGTGACAGGTGCGTTGAGAAGCAAGCTGTCCCTCGTGATTTTCGGTCGTCACCTGCCAGCAGCCAATAGGGTGCAACGAGTTTCGCAACGAAGGCATCTTGAATGTCTGCACTCATGAAGGTGTGCTGACCAGAGATAGAGTGAATCATGCCAGAAATGTGCATGTGCCGCCCAGACCCACTGAGCCCGTTGAACATCGCGCCTTGTTGGTGGGCAGGAGTCTTGTTCGTTATGAGCACCTTGTTGTGGCCACTTCTCCCAGTACTTGTGCCTGGTCACGTCTCGGGAGCTCTGATGGTGGTCATCAGCTTGAGGTGAGTCCCCGGCTTGCATGCGCCCTGAACCATCCACGGGCTGATCCATTTCTACGTCTGGCGCGCCTGGCTAGCCAATGGTCACAGCGAAGGCGTGATGAAGTGCGTTCTTCATCTGTGCGCGAAATCCATTGATCGAGATCGAGATCAATACTTCAAGTTGTTACGTGTGACCAGACTGCACGTAGCGTTCATTGAACCAGTGATGCCGTCCCGTTTATTCTCTTAGGTTCTTTACGGTCATCAGGATGATCGACGTCATGAGGCCAAGAAACCTTCTCATGTTTGGTGAGAGCGTCAAGTGCCTTCCAGCCATCGAAGTGGACATTTGTTTTCACCTCGCAATAGACGATGTAGACGTTCAATTTTTGGAAAAGCTACCGATTTACGACGGTTTGAGGAGGCCTTCAACGCTTAAATGGTCTTCGACATCTTGAACTACTTTTGCCCAAGTCCCGGCGACTAGGGTGATGGGTGTTCACCTGGGCCAGGGGGCAGATCCAAGATTTTGGTGGTAGAATCTAGCACAGTGCATGCCGAAGGGCCCTGTCGGAATCTCTACCAGGCAGGATGCTCGTTGTGCTAGCGATGTTCGAAGTTCCCAGCAAAATCAGAGAAGGACGGCAAAAGAAACGATCTTCTCTGGCTGAAAGCCCTTAGCAGTACAAAACCACATTGCGGCCCGATTATCGCACTTCTCCTTGCAGATGGGCAGCTGCTCACACCGTTGGCCGCCCCTTATCCCCCCGTTATCGAACGTATCCAGGTATATCGATCCTGGTAATTCCGTTCTCTTTCGACTTTGTCAACGGCCTTTGCATGGCGGTGGTCCTCGGCTTCCTTTGCGAACCTGGCGACAAACTCGCTACTTTAGGAAATGCTTGGCGTAAATGCAGCAGGAAGAAGGTGACCGTCTCTGCAGGAGAAGGTGACGGGAGCGAAGAGCATTTGGGACTAAGCCTTGATGTCGAGGGGGGGGCACGCAGAGCAACATCAAACAGTAGCTCGAACGCTGTCAACAATACGGACAACAGTACCGCGGAGGGGCTACACGACATTCATGACGCCCGTTCTCGACCTCGCAACAGCATAAATGTTTTCTCCGCGCCCACGTCACCGGTCGGGGGACAGCGGCGAGCTATAACAGACGCTACAGTCCTATCGACAAGTCACGCGCTTCTGCACGTGCACGGCCGCCCCATCCTTAGGAAGATTGATACAGAAAGTTCAGAAGGCTTTACCCCAACAAGACCGAAGCCCTCTTTCGAACGAAAATGCCTGGACGTGGCCATGCCCGAGAAGCAGGCAGGTTCGCAGCTGACTGGGCCGGTTGCGGTGCACTGGGGGCTTGCTCTGGTTGCCGCAATACAGCTGATGCTGTCGGTGATCAATGACTATACCTGAGATGAACTGCATGAGAAAGCTCCAACTACTACCAGCCCGTGCACAGTCGCTCAGTAGCAGGATGCGTCGAAGGCATCGCGTTCAATTCGTCCGTAGTTAGATGTATCGGCGGCCTGCCCGACCTTTGGCCCTTCAGGATGATCGGCGCGCTGTCCTCTACGACGGTATTTTCGTACTCTCGTTCGGCTTTAGAAATGGTCGTGGAATCAGTCGTATCGTGTTTTCGGATGTGCAACGGAAGATATTTTCCGGAGAACAGTATACCGTATCTGGTGAAGAGCGGAGCGCACGAGGTGCATTGAGTGCCATTACATTGGGGTCTTAGCGCACAAGCTACGGAAGCTCGATCGCTGACAAACGGAACGACGAACAAATGGGTTGAGAGAAAGCCGCGATGTGTTTCGGGCACACAGGGAACTGCTGAACGTCAGCGGCAAGTGCCATGCCAGTTTTTTTGGAGTCGCTCGTCTTTCGTGTGGGGAGAAACAAAATGTGAACCTTTTTCGGGGCTTGTGAGCGGGCCGGTACCATACTTACGAAACGCTAGAACTCTGAACCTACGAAGAAATTGTATCGTCGGGGGAGTGGCATGGGTGCTCGACCTTGAAAGGTGTTACAGGCGGGGCAGGGGAAAACGGAGTCCTGAGACTGACTCAGGGCGCAGCAAAGCGAGCCTACTCCCTGTGCAGGAAGGCGTCCGTATACGCCATGCGATGAAAGGGGAATCAAACGAATTGCATGATGCACTTCTTGACTGAACATCATCGATTAACCTTTATGGGACAGCACCCGAAAAACAAGGGCGGCAAATGCGATGGGGCCGACTGGCTCCTCCGAATGTTCATAGAATATTCCTGTCTGTGCTGACGGAACTTTCCCGACGCTTCGGTGCGCGTGCAGCATCGAGTGGCTATGGACAGCCAACACCAAGTGGTCGCCACTTCGCTGTATTGCCAGCCGAGCTACACAGAGATAGACATACTGTAGGTGGGTTGACGAGTGGGCATCACCGCGACATTTATCAGTTGGCTTCTTGTTTTGGGTCGAATATCTAGACGTTGTCACAAGTTCTCTCTCATTCAAGCATGGTTTTGGGGGCTTGGATGCGATATTTTCTTTTCTCGGCGGGGAGCATTGCTCCGGAGCAAAGTGCGCTCGGCGAAGTGATCAACCTCCACATTGATGGGTAGCACAGAGAACAACTGAAAAGTCTACGCCTGTAGGATATAGGCCAAACGATATCAAACTCGTTGATGTACGGACTATTCTTCGCGCAAAAAGAACGCCATCGAACATAAAAGAATTTGCAGCGAAAGAGGTGAAGGCCAAGAAGCATCATCTCCGCGATCGCATGCCGAAGCTAGACCTCGCTTATGGCTCCCAGAAACCCTTGCAGATTGAGGAGCGAAAGGGGTATTCGATTAATTATGTGCTCCGTGCATGGTTTGTCTCCCTCTGCTGTGCCGTGTTCGGTGGAGCAGTCACATCACCGATAACGCCAGAGCGAGGCGATATTCTAACGTTTCGTTGCACCTCATCGACTTCCTTTCGCAGTGTGAGTGACCGGGAATGACTCGAAGCTAAGCTGTGACGACCCTCTCCCATGTAAAAGGTCCAAGCCAAGTACCACTGACAGGACTAGGCTACTCTCTGCCCTCTGACCTCAGATCGAACACCTTCATCCACGAACCGCAACCCTCTCTTCCGAGGCTTTCGGCCGATAAAAGAAACGCAAGGCCAACGAGATCATCATGATCAGTTCGAACCGAGGAAAGCTACTTCCTCTAGTCTACTCAATGTACAGACAATGTGCCAATCACAATCTAGGACCTATAACCGTTTCCCTCCAGCAGGACGCGGAAGCTGAGTCGGGGCCGTTTTCCTGGTGCCCGTCGCCTCCTTCTTGAGTCTAGCCAGTTCCTTTTTGAGATCCCTGTCCGCACAGACGAACAATCGGGTGGCGAAAGAGTCGACAAGAATGTACGAGGCATACACAACTGTTCATTCAGTGGATTCCGGATAATGGTTCGCTGACAGTTTCACGGTTGCAGGTCGTACGACACGAGGAGGGTGCACGAGATGTTTTTGTCTCGCGAGAATCAAGACACGAACCGTCGACGGTTTGGGATATCCATTGGTCACACTTGGTCAGCGTTTGGGAAACGTGGCGGATTGGCCGTCGGTCCTTGCTCAATACTGCTTCCCTCACGAGCTCAGACACGCACAAGCCGGGATGTATCAGCACTCACTTCAGCTGCGCAGCACCATTTTCGCCCGAGTTTTCGCAGGCCTTCCCGAAGCTGAGGGTTTTCTCGGTCTTGTCCGCGTAGTTGTCAGCTGGGCTTACGCACAAGATTGTCACAACCTGTTGAACGGAGCAATCCGGTAGGCACCGAGGGAGACTTCATGATGATGTTGGCGGATATGTCCATACAACATTTGAGTGGCTAACTGAGACTACAGTCCATGCACCAATATTCCTTCCGAATTGAGTCTCCCGTCACTAGAATACTCGCTGAGCCTCCGAGCATTACGTGACCTGCACATGCCAATGCCGATGTGCCCTGTAGAGTGATATATCCTGAACAATGATCTTCTCTGAGGATAATGTGCAGAAGCAATGCGAGGAGCGGTTTCATACCATGCGCATATATTCGCAAACCTTGGCCGTGTCCGCGAGGCAACTCCTGACCATCCCTGGGAGCCCGTCCGCTCTGTACGCCTTGTTGGTATTGACAACCGTCGCAGCAGCGTGAGTGCGCACGGTGTCTGCCAGGGCCGCCGGCCAAGCCTCCCCTGGCATCTCCTCCACGAGCTCCACAATAACCATCTCACATGAGGAGGCTTCGCGTGTGCTCCTGTTCACAAGCTCCACTCGGATTCTAGACAGGAAATGTCTGTCTTTCCGCACCTCTCGGGAATTTCCGGATCCCCCCGCCTCCGGTGACGACATCGCCCGAGACCTAGCGTCCATGACGATCCTCATCACCTCTTGTGGTGAAGATGCCGCAATCTCTCGTCCCCATCGATTTTCCCCTTCCGTAGGTGCGGGGGATGTAGCGTTTGGCTCCCCTTCGTTCTTCTTATTATCAGAGGTGTCACCTTCACGTACCACCGAGGAGGAATCGCCGCACACAGGCGGTGAGTCCACCGGAGGTAGGAGGCTCTCTACCACACCGCTACTGTCGGTAGCTACTTGCGGCGCCACAGGTATTGAAACCGCGACGACGCTGACCCAAACAACAAAAGCGCACTGCGCGACGCGATGCTTCAGCGTCGCGAACGTTTCTGCCACCAGTCGCGGGAACACTCCGGCCAAGGGTGTCACCTTGACAGCAACCCCCCCCCCACCATCGCCTAACGCCCCCTCGTTCCCGCGCTCGCCCCCTCCGCCGCCGCCACCGACCTTCCCCTTACCCCTTTTCGGAACTTTCTTGGATTCGCCTTGACTCGCCGTCGCTGCAGGCGTCGCCGTCCGTTTTTCATCCTCGCCCGAAATGTCCGCAAAGAAGAAGCCGTCACCCCCTGCGCCTGCTGCTGTCTGGTCAGGTTCTCCTACAAGCGCCAGCGTCTTTCCCGACCGGGAAGCGCCTACGGCCATGAGAAGGACGTTGTGACCGTCCGCGAGCGTTGTCCCCAGCCCCGCAACTTCCTTGTGCAGCTCTGCCTGCGCCGCTGTAGTCGCCGCTACCTCGGCCGACGCATTTTGGAAGACGTGCGTAAACGTCCAGTGTTGCTGTACTGCTGTGAGGAGGGCCAATGTCTGCTTACCATCTCGCAGGCACACCTAATTTGTTCGGGACAGCGCAAGAACAACCGAAGAGGACCGTGGCCGTCCCGAGATAGTCAGCAAAGCTGGGCGGGAGAACCGGACAAAGTGATCGACATGGACCCGGAAGTAATAACGATATCGAGGGGTTCGAGGAAATCGCGTTGGGCTGCAGGTTTTGCGAAAGGCGCTTGCAGAAAAATCGGTTTGTCTTGTTCTTCATCGTCGTAGCGTGAATATCGCGCCCACGGACAGTTTCTGTGACTACACACCTCCTTGCATCCAGCCTCCTTCTCAAGAGCGTCCATTGGACGCACTCGTGCATACATTCGTGTCTGGCCCTTCGTATCCTCGATCTGGTTATGAAGCTGGAGAGGACAGCAACCAACGGGAACACAAAAGTGTTGAGGCACATGAATATAGTCCACGCGTATCTCAACCTGGACTGAAAGCTCCTAATCGGGCATGCGGCAAGCCATCTACGCGGGCTTTCGTACCTTCAAAGACCACTGGTCTAACAATGGTGGGAGTTGAATCCCTCCATCGACGAAGCATAACAGGTATGTATTCCTCACCGTTACCCTGTCGGACCCCACGCAAGATCATATGTCAATCAGCTTTGATATATCGACAGAAAATGCTTAATCGATTTGAAGATTTGACTGGAGCACTGGGGTGTCCAATACTTTTGTTTCAGTGGATAGTCTGCACTCGAACCCACCGGAAGGTAGCGACTAGTAGTTCGTACAGGAAGCCAGCCCCAGGGCACCATTGACTAAATTGATATGGGAGGACTATGTAAAGGCCTCAATAACGGGGCCTAACTCACCTGCTTGGCACGCTCCATTTCTCTTCGGAGGCTCGTGTGCAACTGCTTGTTTGTCTGGTCGATTTGCTTCGAGCCGGCATGCTCCTCTGCGTGTTGTTTCATCCACGCTCGAGCTTCATCCACTTTCCCGGCTCCCTGCATGTTCATTTTCCGCATAGGCCCTTGTGGTCGTTAGACATGGTCAGAAAAACGGGCCACCGCTCGCGGTTGCTAGCGCAAAGCCACCGCCTCTGGTACCCCTCCTCGTATTTCGATCAAGAACTACAGTGCATGCGAAAATGAGCAGCCCAGGAGCGAGACGGCACTCCTACTGCCATTGGTCTAATCGATACCGAGCAACGGTGGGAAACAACCAAGCATGATCCGCTGCGCGTGACACGTGCCTGCTTGGCCGCGTCAGTCGCATTCTTCGTGGTCGCAGCGGTCTCGGATAGAACTTGTGCAGCTCTCTCGACGGTTTCCTTGAGAAGGGCGGTTTCCCGGTCCACCTTGCCGATCAGACCAGTGGCGAACATGCGTGTGGGCATGAAATCACGGGTGTTGAATTCAGGCAGTAACGTGTAGTTGTTGCAAATCAAAGGTGAATCCTGCGGCACCGAACTGGGAGTCTCTCGGCACTGTCCTCCGTTGAAAGTAGCCCACTTCTCTTTTCTCTTCCCGACATCTAAGGTCGACTCTGGAAGGGGAAGCAAGAAGCAAGCAGCAACAAACAACCCAGACGAAACTTATAACTGGTCATGTCAGCAACACCTTTTCGGTCAGGTCTCGCTCCAGTTCGACGCGCTCGGTGTCCCAAGCCTGCTCGGCCTTGCCCAGAGAGTCTGCAGCATCTGTTCGGATTTTCTCCACCTCCGCCACATTGTCCGACCTCAGCCGTTCGAGCCTGACGCGCCGGTCTTCTTCCTGGGCTTGCTGTTTTGCCGCACGCTGTTGGATCAGCGTCACGCAGGGTACAGCGCGGCGGGGGCTGGCGAGTTAGGTGGTTGCAAGCAACGACAACCAATCATTTGCTCATTTGGAAGACCTGCTGAGAAAGGGGTGAAATTGCCGTTTGAACGAGAGAGAACAGAGGAGTGTCACCGGTCGTCTTGCTTCTGCTGGCCCTGCTGACCGGGTCTCCGACGCTTTCTACAGTTTTTGCTAAAACGCCCATGAGACACCCATGGGCACCCCGCGGGTCACCCATGGGACACCAATGGGCACTTTGTTGCCCACGGGGCACCCAAGTTTGACCCATGAGCATGCCCATGGGCAGCCCGTGTGCAGCCCATGTGCGGTCAGTGACAGCCCTTCAACCGGAACCAGTGTGCTCCTAAACAAAAGATTATCTGCTTGGCAACGGGCAGTAGAGCGGATAATAACCCTAACGCTAACCCCGACCCTAACCCCAAGCCCACACGATACGAGCTAGGTTGGCGCTGGTGGTTAAGTTTTATGTTGATATGCCGGTGGCGACGTTCTAGGTTGAAGTGCTCACGGGTGAGCACTTCATGGGCACTTCATGGATCGCCCATGGGTGACCCATGGGTGTCCCATGGGCGGTATAGCAAAACTGTCAGTAGTGTGGGAGATGGTGCTGACCCCGCGGCACTGTTTGGATACGAAATTGGGCTTTTTTTCAAGCTTCTGAAACAATTCCTGTTTGTGTTATCGATCGCATCAACACAAGTAAAACAAACGTTTCCAAGGCCTGGCTGGGTCTCACGATCCAGTAGATCCGAAACATGTTAATGAGAGTTCAATGGATGGAACGCTGATGACCGTGATCTCACGCAACCATGTATCACATGCGCTTCGTTTCCTGCCGTCACGTCTGAAACTTCTCGGCATGAAGTGAGATTTGCAAGGAGGGAAATCCCTACCTCCTCGACCGATCCCTTGGTAGCCTCGAGGGTTTCCGTGATGTGGCTCAACCGCACTTTCTCGGCGGCTACGCCTGCCTTGAGCTTGGTAATCTCTTCCGAGAGCGAGTCAATCGCGGCCTGCCCCGAGCTATCGTCTGCCAACGCCGATTGGAGCTTTGCTACCCCACTCATTGCTTCTTCCGCCTGCGGTGAGAGCGAAAGAACGAGAAATATGCCATTTTTGATGCGAAGTTTCCACCTGACAGCCTCGTCTCAAAACATGTCCCCCGAAACATCTGCACCAAGGAATCAACGTTGTCCTGGTTCTTACTTCCTCTTTCGTCTTGGCCAAAGCAGCCTCTCGCTTCCGCAAATCTTCCTCTAAGCTTCGAAGAGTCTTACGCTGCTCGTTCAGGGCGCTTGTTTGGCGTTGCCGTTCCTCGGCCAGTTCATTGTCCTGCCGTGACACTGACTCCTGCTCACACATGATTGAGCCGGACAAGTGTGAAGGAGAGTAAGCAACGGATGTGGGAACAATACCTTGATGCTTTTCTCAGGCTTTATCCATTGAAGTACATTTTTCTCTGGCAAAGCAGATCATTACCTGTTCGAAGCACAATCATACCCGCAGCAGAACCGGTTCCACCGGCAAACGCTCGACATGAGATTGCCAAGGCGCGGGTCCAATCTTGAACCACAAAGCTGGCCGTGGAGGCGAAAACTGCTGTTGTTCACTAGGCTTTTGTAGTTCGACACACAATACGCATGGACATAGCCAGGCCGACTTTGGCGGCGGCGCATATAAGCTGCTACACTGGGACCCTCTTGGTCTTGTATGGAGTTGTGAGTCGCCTCACGTTGCCGCAGATCTTGAGATTGCCGTCCAAAATGAAGGATTTGTGTACAGGAAGTCTGGTATAGGTATTTTCCGACCGTTCGTCGGCTTTTTGCGCAACAGAGCCTACTCGGGTAATCAATAGAGCCCCACAACCACCCCCACCGACCTGAAACACTTTGTCCGCCTCGGCACGTAGTACCGCGGGTGAATCGACGCGCTGCAGGTTGTGCTGGGAAGACGCTCCTCGGTAGAGGGACCTGTTGCTGCTGCTGCTGCCGTTGTTGTTGTTGTTGTTGTTGTTGTTGTTATCGCGCCCACCTTGCTGCCCAACTGCTGCTATCCTACCGATGCTAGTGCTGCTGTGTTTTCTGGTGGTAAGGGCCGCAGGCACGAGCTCGGTAGCTTCCCTACTGCTTCGATGCCCCTCGGCTGCTCGGCTAGGCTGGGCATGAGCGCCATCCTCGGTCGCGGGGGGCTTCTGGTTTTGGAAGACCCACGGTACGGTAAGCAAACTTATTAGAAAAACTTGAGAATAGGCTGGTATGTGACTATCGACAAATACCACAAACGTAGAAGATTGGCCCACCGCATTGGAAAGCGGCGAAGAGAATAGCGATCGTGTCTCTATGGGATGACGCATGGCGTTCTCCGAACCTCCGAAACAATGTCCTTCTTCACGATGGCTATGACAGGTCACGGGAGCTCCACCCCAGGTATCTGATAGTTCCCCTGCTGATTCCGCCATACGTTACGTCGATAACTTCAGCCGGGCTCGTCAATCTAGGCCCAAGGCTCTGTAGCAAACGAACAGTGAAACGGAAAAGGGAACCCACCTGCTCGCCGTCGGTTTTCGGCGTGGACTGTTCCGCCCCGGATTTGCTCAGTTCGTCTTCAGAGGGAATGAGCGAAGAAACCCCAAGAGGTTCCAATTTTGGGAATGACGCCTCCCGGAGGAAATCCATTTTCTTGATTCCGTAGCGTATCATGAGCGCTTGCAGCATTTCTTTGAAGTCCGCCTGCAGGCGCGATTTGTAGGAGAGAACAGCGAGGAGATCGGATGCCAACGAAGATTTGTCGCGCGCACATCGCCCCGGTTGAAACACAAAGCCTGCTGTTGTTCGGTGACGCGCTTGAATAACTACATCAATCGACAATTTCAGGTTCAAGCTGAAGGAATGTACCGCAAGAGAGATATTCTGTGTGACCCTTGAGTCGACGAGACCTGCAAGGTGATGGGGTTTGCCATATCGAAGACTGCGAGGTTGGATGATTTCGAGCGGCGATGAGAGAAGGAGGCGACGAGGATATCGAAACACTGTGCACGACGCGCTAGGCTCCCCACGGCGCGCTAGGCCCCACGTCTGTGTTGCTCACGACCTTGGTCTGCTGCCGGAAAACCCGGCCGAGGTGAGGTCAAAATCAATCGGTATTCCTCTTTGAACAACCCAATCTAAGGGGATTACCAACCGCTACACACCACTGGTGTTTTGCTGAGGGTGGTCGATCATTCGTAAATCTTCCTCGCCTTCGTGATTTCTCGTCATCCTCCCACCCTAATAGCAACGGCAAATGAATGCGAACCCTGCATAGGGTCGAGCTCTATAGGTTCGGCTTTAGTTCGGAACAGCCCCCACCCCGCTCTCGCCCGGCGAGACCGGCGACGTACCTTAGGAGTCCACCGCATTTCGTGAAGTGTCATCAGCATTGCAAAAACGCTTGGGAACGCCCACAGCCACACCTTCACGACTGCTTGATTATCTAGAACCGGGAATGAGGAATGACGAATTCACCAGGGTTCGTTGCGGCACACAGACAAGGCAACAGAAAATACAGACGAGGGCTGCTCACCCATTTCGGTCTTGCGACATATTCCGACTGAAAAACCAAACAATACGTGACCTCTGTTGAGACAACGTAAACGTGCACCGGTCACGACCACCCGGTGGGGGTAAACTAGACGTGCTGCAGGAAGGAAGCTGGTTCCCACCTTTCCTATTTGCATGGCCAGATCCACCTCCATCAGCTTCAGTGGGTCCGCTCGGCTAAAGATGGCAACCAGCCACGACCGCACCTGCTCCTGCACCAGCCATTCCCGGACCCCTAGGGGCGGGAGTGTGATGGATGCAGACACAGCCCCGGTTTTGCTGCCGTTGACACCGCCAGCAGTGGCGGGAACAGTCGCCAGAAACTCTTTGGCGACTGCCTGCAGGTCAGTTTCCCACCATGATTCACCTAAAGAAAACAGGACAGAAAACATAAAACCGTGCGCGCCACAGCGTAGACGGTGAGATCTGAAAAATCGCCCATGTTTTCGATGTTCAGGACCGGGGAACTTCATTGGCGCCAATAAACGATTGCTATGTCGAAGAACCACTCACCCGTCTCGTCGTTCATGTAGTACGCGAGCTCCGTCTGCGGATCAATGTGGCGGATCCAGAGGCCGCCGGTCGGCCCCGACGCCTCGCCTTCCTCTCCCGTACCCATTCCCGTGTAGGCTTCCTCGACCTCTTCCCATCCCTCTCCCTCCTCTTCACCGCCGAGCAGCTCGACTACATGCTCGTGCCCCGCGTCCTTGGCGTATTTCACAGCGGTGTAGTTGTAGTAGTCTTGGGTCTGGGGGACGTCCAAACGGGTGACAAGCGGGCACAAGGGGTTACGGGGGTGGCGTTAGAGTTTTTTGGAATAGAGACAGAATCATTTTCATGTTATCCGGTCATGACGTTGTCGATGAATTATGTCCCCATCACTCGATCCACAGTCGATTTCTGCTGAGCACTGCATTGCTTGCCTTTGGCTGCGCCCCGTGCTCTACCAACAAAGCGCATATCTCGGCGTCGCCAGAACTTGCAGCATAGTGTAGCGGGGTACAACCGTACGTAGTCTCGGCGGTGGATGTTTCGGCGCCCTTCCACAACAACGCTTCGGCTGCGTCGTAGGACAGCGAGTCGGCGAAGCAGGTGTAGTGAAGAGCACAAATACCGACCGCGTTCACTGCCGTAGGATTCGCACCCTTCGCGAGAATAGGCTCCACGAGATCCTGTCGGGTGGGGTGGAGAGCGGAGGTTTGGATTCACCAGGCGAGTGCGCATGGAACTTCACTCCATTGACGCTCAAAAGCGTATCTCAATGTTGTTCTAGTGCACGACTCCTAGAGGTAGTGAAAATCGTGATATGTTCCCTCAAATAAGTTACGCCAGCGGGAAGCAGCCGACCATTTCCTGGGCTAATCTGTGTTGAAAGCACTCCTCACGCACGGTTGGCTCAAACTTCCCCGACGCCGGTATCGCTATCTAGCACGCGTGCATGAGGTAGAAATTCTTCACTATTGCGCATGTACCCGGGCGTCGAAGCCAGAACAACAAAGCTGAGTACATATTCTGTTGAGAAATCCAGCGGAAAACACAGACCCCGTACTCCAACCTTTCAATCCTCGATCATTACGAAAAACCTTCGTGGTTTCGTGCAGTCCGCAGGACAAGAACCAACGCTTGAAATTTGTGAAAACCACACTCAAGAACACTCGAACAGAGCGTCGTTTTCAAACCGGCGTGCGGTTGTCTTAGTCGGTAAGTTTCAACGAGCCGCACCTCGCACCCGTGTTGACAGGCGAGAATGAGCAAGGTATCCCCCGCCTCGTTGCGAACATCGATTGCGTCGGGACGTACACTTGCAAGAGTGGCTTTAACCATTTGGTCCATCGGTCCATCATCCCCCCCATAGAAGGGTACAAGGCCGAACAACGTTCGCATAGTCTCGTCTTTGATGTAGTGCCTGCATTGCATCGCGTTGGAACACAAGCATTAAACTAAGATGTATCGTCCGGTACGTCAGGTTGGTTGACTTCATCTCGTCTCGCTTGTCAGCAACATCGGCGGGGGGGACGTGCCCGTATCCTTAAACATTGTGTCTTGTGGTAGTTATTGTCCTACCTTGAAGTATTGGCGAGGAAGAGCGTATCGCCACAAACTGCTCTAAGCCCGGGCAAAAGTGTCGAGGAGTCACATGAGGACGTTCGCGCTCATTCGTTACTGCGGGATGAGTGGAAGATCTGTTCACACAGCACCTGTTTGCAGGTCTTTTTCGCTTCGGCTTGCCGGCCTTCTGCACGGTTGGCACAGTCTTCCCGTCGGCCGGTTCTGCTTCATTGGTATCCTCTCGATCGTCATCGACAATGACACGCACGACAACACCGCCACCGCCATCATTTGTATCACCTCCATCCAACGACTGTTCGTCGATGCCACTGTCCACTTTGTCCTGTCATTAGGCGGGACGCGCACGTACGCGCAATGTGAATGATAAGCGTATCAGTAGCCGTTCGATGCCTGGCACAACAAGAGGCGTATTAGACGATGGCAAAGGGCTTGTTCCAGTACTGGAGGCTGGGGGCTGGGAATAGCCAACGCATGTATGTATGTGTTTGTTTGCTCGTCATGCCTCTCTGTCGTGAACAGCATAGTGGGGGTGTCGTGATCTCTCCGTTATCCACAAGCACCAAGCTCCCATTCGTTGTACGGTGGCTGCGACACGAGACCACCTGTACAAGGTGCTGTTCCGTTTAACAACCCCATTTGTATTGACGCACGCCGGTATTCATCGGTGCAGCCACCACCTACCGGAGTGCCAACTCCGCCGGGAAAAGGGCGGGTAGAGGGCAATCGGGCAAGATCCCTTGCTTCTGCTTGGTGAACGAAGGATGTTATGCGCTGTCCACCACGGACTTCTCGAGCCTGCGCCGTACTTAGCTACGTTACTTCTGCCAATTCATGCTCGGTGTGCCTCTCAGAGGAATACAACTGAGATCGCTCGGTTCACCACCGTACACACAAGCAGAAGGAATTGGACCCTTGTGTCCCTGCTTTTCGCATCTTGGTCGTCCTTACCACACGATCACCGACCGTAGTTCGTTCCGTGCGTGCTCCCTGGGCGTGATGATGATCTACGAAAGACGAAAGTAAGTGGTAGATGTGGCCGCCAGGAAAACATGTGTTGTGGTGGTTTGCCAAGCTCGAAGAACATAGATCAAGCAAGGGAAGGAGCAGTATCAAGCGAATACTGCACCTCGAATGCAAAGTGCTTCCACACCTGCAGATAACACTACCTTCCATTTTGCACGTGTGTAACTCTGATTGAGGGGTAAGGACTAGGGCGGAAGGGCGTATTCAGTAGTTTACTTTCCATGTGCACATGACAACCGTCGGAAAACAGCCCAGCACCGTCGACTACAATAGTATTGCGGACTCTGTTCGCACTCCGCGGTCTTTTAGGGGGAGGGGATTCGCATTGCCTCCTCTGAAAAAACAGGAAACGCCTGCATATCTCATATTTCCGAATTCTAACCCCAGTACGAAACTACCATCGCAAATTAACCGTCCGCAGTAGTCGCTTGTGTACAAAGTTAGTATCTGAAGTTTAAGTCCTTGCGATACACAACAGATTAGTGGTCTGCGATTTTCCAAACGGTTCTTATATCATTGAGATCGGTGACCTGCGAGCAGGTTTTTTAATGCTTCCGTGCGGACCGGTTTTGGAGCGCTTCAAGCACACACTTACGGCGAAGCAGCGCCTTTATGAGTGTGTGGGGCAGCTACCTGAAGCGAAACTCTTCCCTCACATGTCCTACTCGTCGCCATAGTCGATTTGAGTGCCTGGGATCATGTATTTGTAGGCCTGGCTGCTAACATGGGTGCCTGAAGTGTTTCAACATCGGACCGCATAGCATATTCCAAAATTCTGCGTGTAACTCGCCGATCTCGATGATGGAAGGATCGTTTGGAAAAGCGCGGACCGCTAGTCTGCAGTGTATCACATGGGCTACAATCTCAGAAACTATCATTGTACGCATGCGACCGCTGCGGACGGTTAATTTGCCAAAATAGTTTCGTCCTGGATTTAGGCTTTGGAGAACTTAGATATATAGGCGTTTCCTAGATTATTAAAGAGGAGGAACTGCGATCCCCCCCGCGCCCTTGGCGCACTGCTGCTTCTCTTTCAGTCTGCATGCGCAACGTCTGTATCGAATGAGGCGCCGCAGATGTCAACTAGACAACATTCTTACGTGTACGCACATCACCGGCACCAAAAGGAGAATTCCCAGCCTTGTTCAACGGGACCGTACACTCCTGCAGTACGTACCGTATTCTACACAAGATACCACACCCCGGTGATAACATTTTGGGCTTCAAAAATATTATCACCGGGTGTGGTATTGTGGGGGGGGTGTGGTATCTTGTGTACCCCGGTGATAAAGCCTAGCTCGCAGGAGCTCCTCAGGGGGTGTGATAAACCAGGGGGTGTGGTAGCACATACGACCACCCACAGGGAGGGTTTGGGAGTGGGATAAAAAAGGGGGTGTGATAAAATGGGGTGTGATAACACGTCGGAACACCCAAAGAGTGTGTTCGGGTGTGTGATAAACAGGGGGTGTGCCGCTTGCGTAGAAGTCTGCTCGGGTTGAAAGAACGAGGTGATCTGTGGCGCCTGTGCTGCTGCGGTCGAAGCAGTCGTGGGAGAAGCAGATGTACTTGCGGCGGCATTCTGCTCTTCCCGCACGTTCATGTTCTCTGAGGTCTCCATGTCTCCCCCCGTACGGTACAAGCTGTGCGTGTGTGATGCTGTTTCACCCCCGGTGATAGAGACAGGGAATGTATGCGGCGTAACCTGTGTTATCACCGGGGTGTGGTATCTTGTGTACCCCCGGTGATAAATCATGGTCTGAAAAATACACCCAAAATTACCACCGGGGTGTGGTATTGTGGGGGGGGTGTGGTATCTTATGAGGGTGTGGTATCTTGTGTAGAATACGGTACTCAGGGACAGTGAGCATTGTACGACATAATGTGCGACTTCTGTACTCGTAACACGCTGATAGGGTCACACAAGTCCAAAGACGAGCACAGCAGTATTCGTTGCAAGCACCCTGATAGGCCCTCGAAACAAACGTACATGTAGGGATGGTCTCGGCATCTCCTGTAAAGATACCGACAACAACGAAGACCGGAAGGTTGTTGTTTCCAACAAATGAAACTCAGAGCTAATGCTGTCGGGACTCACAGCTGGGACAAAAAATGTATCGTCAGAAGCATCGTCGCCGCTCTCGTCAGATCCGCTGCTGTATGACGAACTTGTATTCGACTCACTGCCGCTTGAGCCGCTGGTGTTCTCCTCCGAGCCAGTAGTCTCCTCCGTCGACACTCGGCGCCTACGATACTCGCCGAATCCACGAGCTACCTTTTTCTCCTGCTGAAGGTCTTTTGAGATAATGCTTCGTCTCTCATCTAATTCGATTGGCTGGGATGAGTTGAGTTGTTTGGCCCCTGCATCTCGTTGGCTGCTGCGGAGATCTGTTCCACTGTCCGCCGGCGTCGGCCTGTCACCCTCGATTGTTGCGCCGGCGTCGGCGGCAGGCGCATGTTCCTGGTAGTCGACAGACTTCTTTGGAACGGTCTCAGTCCTTGGCGTGACTGAGGCAGCCTCGGTAACCTTGATGCCATCTTTTGAAGGCTCAGGGACAACTTCTGCCGCCTTTGTGGAACCTGCAGGACTGATTTCATTTCGCGTTGGGCGTGGAGCCTTTGGAGGTGTATCGATGTTGCGTTCTTTCGATGTTGCCCCAACGGGGGTCGTCTGGTGGGGGCCTTCCTCTCGATATTGTTGCGCCTTGGGCTTCTCTTTGCTCACAGCACTAGATTCGTAAGGTGATACACTGGCGCGATTACCCATATTTACTTGAGGCGCCAAGGCGCCTCACCCCTGGCCCCTTTGTCCGGAAGAGGGAAAGGAAACAGCGAAGCGCTCGGGTTCATTTCGAGGGCGGCGCAACTCATGAAACGCCAAGTACCGATTCGAAACCCGCCGCATCACATGTTGTGGACTGAAAGACCGGGGGGAGAGCGCGAGGGGGGCGGTGGGTAAAGAGACAAACAAGCGGAAGGCTGAGAGCGCGGTGCCAGAATTCAAGCAACTATGAAGCCTCGGGGAAAATCACGGTCAGAGGTCGACCGAGCCCCCTCGGCTACTGACTCCAATACGATGCTGTCGCGAACAACAGCAGTGCGATGTGCGGCCCGTCAAGTATGCATAGGCGATATGGAGGAGGAGCTGCACAACGCATTTGCCATGGCGCGGTAAGACGAAACAATGGAAAGTGTGGTATTACAGCAAGGTCAACTATTTGGCATGTGGGAGCAGCACCCTCGTTGATGTCTCTTTCACATATCGAGGCGACCCTAGGCGACTAATTTCGGGTGCCCACTTTCAAACCATATGTGATACCTCCAGTGTGCCAGGAGGGACTGATTTCGTCTACGAGCGCGATCATGACGCGTTCGCACGGCTTGATGATTATTGCAACTGGAACCAGGTACGCTACTTAGTGTTAGCATCGACAAGCGAGCAAGTGCAGCCGTTGTAGTTGTGCACTGCGCCAATGCCATAATGTACAACAGTCAATCATGCTGTCCACCAACTGCAATACACAAGGTACACATACGACACAGCAGTTGACAATACGTATACTTGAGTACATGTTAAACACGCACTCATCACGGAGGCGCCCGCGAAAGCTCGCAATGTGTCTTCCTATTCGAAATGCACGAAAGGCTCTGCGCATGCACTTTTACATGTAGACTACAGCTGCTGCTGCCCTGTACTCGACAGTAGTCTAGAAAATTACATATGGAGATCAAGAATTAACAAAAGGATTCGCTTTCTGCGTCACCCCCGGCCCGAACGCACCGTTGTGGTATCGCATATTTGAACAATGCCTGCAGATGTCAGAACCAGCAGCTCCTTTGGTGGTTTCTGGGCCGTCTGGGTCGGGCAAGAGTGCTCTCCTTGCGAACTGGCTTTTGCACTACCGCCGGCGGTTGGCAAAGCGGCCGAAACACGGAGGGGCGTCGGAGAAGACCCTTATTTTTTGCCACGCAGTCGGGCAAGTGTTCTCAAATCGTTGTGCACAGCGGACAGCAGTGCGCACGCGGTGAATGGATATTGCCTTCAGCGTGTCTCATTCAGTATTCTTTACTGCAACGCTTGTGCACGGTTGTGAACTTCATGAGCCCTCCGCGATACCGGGACGATTGGGGGGCATGTGGAGTCGCGCCGAAGATTTCGTGCTTAGTCCACAGGCCTGCCAAGACGACTGCTGCACCGCATCCGTGGCACGTTACCCTCTCTATCTTTGACTACGTAGGTGCACACGACATGGCGTCGAGGTGGACCAGTTACTGTGGAGGCTTCTCGCGGACGTCAAGCAGAGATTCGATTTGGTTCGAAACGTTCCAAACGAAGCAGAACGGCTCAGCTGGGAATTGCCGCGCTTTCTTGATCTGGCAGCAAGAGAGGGGCGTGTGATCATCATTGTTGACGGCCTCCACCGCCTCCAGGACAAGAATGGTACGTTTGCACGCCGCGTTGGCGAGAGGAGCGCAAATGGCTTCTGCGCGCTCACCCGCGGCTTCCTTTGTTGTACAGCCGCTGACGTTGCGAACCGCTGATCTTCCCGCCCTCACGTGTCAGGGGGAGAAAATGGTCTACAGTGGCTTCCCCTCCGAGTTCCAGGCAATGTTCGGATCATCGTTACCGCGACACATCCAGACCCAAACTACCTCCAGCTCCACGAGCTAAAAATCAGACAACACGTGGCCAACACCCACCAGTCACTGCTCTCGTCCCAGCCGTCTGACAACTCAAACGGGGTCGGGGATACGCACGCAAGCGGTGGCGGGAGCGGCGGCGGTTCTACCGGCAAGGGAAAAAGCAGTGCCGAGACCGGCGAAGAAGGCGAAGCGGAGTACGAGAGTAGTCACCGGCGACGAAAGGTGAGCAGGCAAACTCACCGCCGCTGGAGTAACGGTCTGCTGATTCTTGTGCGAGTGGTGCAGAGGCAGCGAGAAACTCCAGGTGTTTCGCATGGTGGCCGAGTTCCTGAAAGTTGCCGGGTTTCATCCAGCAGTAGCCCGCTGCACGTCGCGGGATTGATCAGGGAAGGCACCAACCTTCGGGGCTCTTCGGTAGAAACCCTCGTGCCACCCCAAAGCTGGAGCTCAATGGAAGCTGGCGTGTTTTGGCGTCTGACGATGTTTATCTCCCAACGGATATTCGTCATGTGATATTTCCTTCACCTATTTTCCATAGGTGCTCATGGAGCTTTCTCGAAGAAAGTGGCCAACTTTGGAACTCGGGCCGCTCCAGACTTGGCGCAAACGCGACATCGTGGAGGCATTCCTCAGGCGCTCACTTTCGGGGAAAAGAACGCAAGAATCGGTACCCTCAACCGCGAACAGCGATTGTCGACCAAAGCTACCACACGCTTCTTCCGAAGAAGGGATTTTTCTGACAGGGGTCGACATGAAGGAGAATGGAACAATCGGCCTCGGAACTCGCACCGTGACTAGCAGTGTAACGCCGGGCGGATCGGGAGAGCGGGGTTCATCACCGGGTTTGGTCTTGTTCCCGTCGATGATCGAGAGTATCCTGTCAAAGTAAGTGTTGTTCCTCAGGCCTGCATGGATGCTTGCACACACTTTTAACGGACTCGAAGTCTGAGCTTGGTCCGCCAAGAGCTGAATGGTGTGTGTGGCACGAACGCGTTGTCCTGGCAAGTAGGCACACTCGATCCCGTTCAAAAGGCTTCTTACTTACGTAGCGTATCTGCCGTTTCTATTTCGGCCTGTCCCTGACATAGCGACATCCACCTTGGCCAACCACGCAGTGTCAAACCTCACGACGGACTCCTTCGAACACATCTGAATGCATGCAACATGGTAACGAATGACCCACCCGAACGTTTTCTGGGTGCCCGTAACAATGGTTCTGGCGCCACCAATTACGATTCCAGCGATGCCACGAGCTCCGCGCTGTACTTGCGTACGCTGCTCCGGGCTCTCGATTGGGCGGCGAAGAACGCGTACGACGTGCGTGCATTGCTGAAGAACATGCTGAACACGACGACGGTCGGTCAACTGTACAACGTGTTTTTCGACAGGTACAGCAGAACCAAACATTTTTTTTATGGCCTCAAGGTTACATTAAGTGGGCGTACCCATGTTTGGCCTTTTGAACACGGCCCAGTCGCGAACAACGTCTTTCATAGTCTCCAACCACCGATAAAGCTATAGCGTGTACCACGACACAGTTTTGTTTTCTCGGGTAGCGTCGTTCAGTCGCGCAATAGAGATTGTGCCCGACGTATCAGCGTACAACCAAGCGGAGGTGGGTGCTCGCTCAACTACCCCCTCCCCTTTTTGGTCTACGCTACGCCTGTTGATCTAAAACATCTGTTCCCATAGCCTTGAAAGCGGCAGCAATCCCACAGAGACATCGATACGGATCGCGGAACAGGACAATGAGGCCGAAGGGGGCAAGCAAGCGCTGCAGGACGTTATCGATGATCTGGAGGGAGAAATGCCCCTCAACTCACAGAATTCCAGTGCTGCCGCCGAGACTCATAGAGGTGGCAACCGGCACCGGCAGCGGCAGGAACAGCAGCACTCCGCCGTCGCGTCCGAGAGGCTGAGGCATGTAAATTATGCAGTAGTTGGGGTCGCCGCTGCCGAAGAAGGACAAACGAGCGGAAAAGGGGCGTCGGACAAACTCCATGTCATGGAAGGAGCAAACGACAACTCGAAACACGAGGGCAATGACTGTTCAGAAGAGGGGAATGAAGAGGGCGACGCAGGGTTGAGCAAAGGGGAGGGCAACGGATACAGCGAGGAAGAGTACGACGACAGTGATTTCGACGAGACGGAGGAGGGTGAGCAAGAGGAAGTAGTGCGGAAGAAGTCATCTCCAGAGGACGGTGCTTCGTCGACAAAGTTTCAAGAAGCAGCCATGATAGACGGGATAAACCAAGAACAGGGGACAGATGGTGCATCTGCCCAGTGCGGCGGTAGTCAAGACGACCGCAGTCGGGGAAGCTGTGACGACGTTAGCATGTCTCGGGGGGAAGAAGTTGGTCCAGGACCAACTGGCCCCGAATCAACTCAGAATCGTGCCGGCCATGTCTTCGGGGTTGCGGATGAAGCTAGGACTGGCGGCTTGCCCTCCAGAGCTTTCACCTTGTCTGAGGTTCCGGTGTATCTGTCGGGAGGGACAAAGGCGAGTACAAGGGTGCAAGGATTACTCTTTCAGGTCCATCACTTTTCGGTGGCACTCCAATGTTTAATATTGTTTTTGACGCAGCATTTTATTTCGGCAATGGCTTATATTGTACTTCGCTTCACTGTTTGCTTTCTGTTTCTCGCTTTTTATTCCCCACCGTGGTTTCTGGTATCTTGGGAGCTGTACTACGTGCACGAGTGGAGAAAGTCCCTACTTCTTTTTCTACCCTATTTCTATGTGCCATCATGTGCCAACTCGTGCAACGGTAGGCCGTGTCTTTGCAATTGGTTTGGAGACAAGAGACGGTGCTCGAAAGATATCAGAACCTCGTATAGAGTGAACAGAAAGGGGCAAGGACAGCAGTGAAGATCTTGCCAAGTCCGAAACTTTCGGGAACAGTGCTAAGGGGTCTCCACACGTAAGCTTTCGAAACAATTGAATATTCGCTGCCATCGGGCTTCCACTCAATTTGCATCAGCATCGCAAACGGTCATTCAGTTAGCCCTCGACGCTTGTCAACTGCTGTCGACTGCTCCGGTGCGAACTTTACTTCAGCGTCCATCGCACTGTAACTTGTCCTCCACAACACTATGGTATTCCCATGCTTTGTACCACGTCCTGCCTTTCCACAGCACCACGAAATATGGCTTTGAAGGCAAATGCGACCGAGACCTTCCCCGACATGCAACCGCTGACAGGAACAATTCCACGATAGTGGGGAAACAATTTCAAGATGACGGGGAAATAAACATGCCCCCCCTTTTCGCTCATGCATACGGCCTTTCCATCTGCACTCATCATTCACAATCGCGTGAACCGTGTTCCCAATATCATCAAAGGTAGAAGGGTTTGGTGTGAAGGTCGGTCGCGCGGTGGCCCTCCTCCACGTCGTCCGCCATGGCCTGAGGTCCCAGGAGCTGTGGTCGTTGCTCGCTGCGTTGGAGGCTCACTCGTCAGCCCAGGAGAAGGTGCGACGTCATATGTAGCTATCTGCATGCCGAGGGGGGTGCCACCTTGAAGCGCTACGCCGCATTACGTAGCCAGCTGAAGACGATCGTACGAGAATCAATGATGACATGCGATTGACGATTCGTCAATTCTTGTGGGTTGCAAAACCCTGCTGCGGCAGGATGTAGCCGCTTGGCGTGTTGTGCATGATGCGACAAGATCGCCGTTGTGCCTGAAGCGTATCGGATACACTATGTTCGTTGAATCCTCATCATCCCTCCCCTATCGAGAATCCGGCGTCACACCAACTTTGCGTTTCTACTACGTCCTACCTCCAACGAAACGTTTGCGCTACTCAGGCTGAGGGCACAGAAGGGGAGGCCGAATCGCGGCTTTTGCGAAAGCTACTCAGAAACCAAAACCGGCTGATCGACAGCATACGCCAGATGGATACCGACAGGGACGGCGTTGTCTCCACGGCGGAGTTCCGAGCCGCGATCGTCTCTATGAACCTCGGCCTCACTGATCGTCAAGTGGAGAATCTTATCCACTCTATCGACGTGGACAACGACGGGGAGCTAGACATGCAGGCAAGTGCTCCCTATTGTTGGAAGTTTATACCACAACAACTACAGTACCACTTAGCGTTGTTTAAGCTGTTCCCAGGGCACTGGGCTGGTCACACAGGGAGAGCATGAGCACTATTTAGCATACCCGAGCCAGGGAGTACACTCCTGTTGATGTTTTGATGGCATGAACCTCATCAAATTCGGGATTGGGGATAGGTTCATTTGGGCAAGGGTTGTGCATCACGGTCAATCTACGTTTCATGCTCAGAGGGATATCACGCATGATCGGGAGCGCCAATTACTTGGGTAAAACGGGCTTCTGTGCTTTGAAATTGTCAAGCTACGAATGGTTATTGAGCGCTGGGGTGTCGTGATGTTGAACCAAGGTGAACGCAGCCCCGATTGAAGAATCCGTGTGCTAGCGTTCATACATGTCCGGCAATACAGGGCAGTTTCGATTGTGTAGCTGCTCGTGCTGGGTGGACCCTCAGCCGGCGCCCCTGCGAGAAGCAGGCCTACTGTCTGAAGGACGTGTCAAACACGTTTGTGGACCACCTGCCCATCCGAGAATAGGAAATGATCGAGAGATTCTCCGCCACTGCAAGAAAGATGAAGCACGGTGGCGGAAGCAGTGGGCGGAAACACAGTCAGGTGAGGTCGCCAGTCTTTGAATCCCCGATCTCGGGTGTATGCTCGCTTGTTTCTGGAGAGCGCAACATAATATTGAGTTCTCTCAACTTTATGATCGTGGTGGATTGGAAAAGGATGAATTCCGCGGTGGTATTGGTTTACTTGTTGGAGAACACTCTACCTACCTTGGTTGTGATCTTAAGCATGTTGGTCGATCATGGGTTCTAGTCTTTTGTGCCTCGTGAAGAAAAAGATGTCTTGCCCCATCAGCGCGTAAGCTTCCTGATTGCGCTTAGGTGAATATCGTAGCCTCGTTCGAACCATCGCCCTAATCCGAGAACGCCTTCGCCTGCCGTTGCTACAACCAAAACAGAGCGCCAGGAAACGCGAATTCGAGTCTAGCACTTGGAGCGACTTCACTGAAGAAGTAAGAGCCAAAGATGGAGTTGTCGTGCTTGGAGTATTTGGCTTGAGCTTACGTGGATAGCGTAGAACGTTTCTGCGTGACTCTTTCGCTCTGCTGTCTTTCACTGACGCGTGATTCGAGATATTGCGGTACTCCAGGATTGTCTCAACGAAGATTTGCCTCTCTCGGTAGTTCTAGAAACGATACCAGTACGACTCCGGCCTTTCGGCCCACGCTTAGGCGATCACGTTCAGATCATGCCAGTCGATGATGAAGGTGGAAATCCCTGAGGTAGTGCCACAGGTCGGCTTTTTGTGAATCCTCACACGCCAAATTGAATCGTATGCATAGAGGAGTCCCACGCGAAAAGGGGTCGCGATACAGCAAAACGTCGAGCACGACAGACGTAGCGTTGGCCAACCTTTGACGTGACGATTGTCTTATCAAGTGCCTGATTGCGGGCACCACCTAGAGTACCGTAGCAACGCTGCTGCGCCGGGGTTGTGCGGCAAGGCTGCATGTACTAAAGAATGCACCCGTAGCCAGCTCTCAAGGAAGTACGCCCTCTCGCGATACCTTCCGCGCTCTCTCGCCTCGCGCCGCGTTCTCCAGGACGCCGGTGACACCAGTTCTCTATCAGATGGAGCCAAGGCCTCCCTCAAGTCAGCTCTGTCGGTGTTGGGCGTGTGCCACGACGGTCTAACCCACAACGGAGAGGAGCATAGCATCTTTGTGCTCGGGCTCGACGCTGAGGACCTGCGGGAAGTGGTACGAAGGGTGATTTCACTGCGCGGGCGAGCGTTGTCCGCCAGATCGCGTCCATGAAACACATTCATTGCGGAGATTTTGCGTATGCGCGCCCTTGGTCTGTATCCCGCCCCCATCTGTAACGCCGCCCACCATCTTGTTACCACCGATCACAACAGGTGTCTCGACGATACGTGACGTCTGATAGTCTTTGGCATTCTCGCCTGGTGCGGTTCTTCCAGGCGCAGCCACCAAGCCCCCGAAGGTGCGAGGAGCTCCCATGGCACCTAAAAAAGTGCTACAGATGGCACCCGCTCAAGAACTCCTTGGTCGACCTGCGGACGTTTGAGGTGCGTCTAATGTTTTCTTCATGTGCTGTGAAAATTTTCATTGCAGATTGTGATGTTGACGGCCAGATTCGTACTTGCTGATTGACCCAACCGCAACAAGACCGGGTGCATTGAAAGCGATGCATCTATTGTGTAGGTCTCGCGTCGAATGTTTCGAGGGCAAAGGTGCCGTCCAATACTGCCAAATTCTCCGCCTACCATAGCGCGCTACAGAAATGAACACCAACATTGTTGTGCCTAACCACCTGAATGTCCTTGCAACACCTTGCCTTGGAAGACAATGTGGACGACGACCCAACTGAGGAGGGAGTTGATGGACTACTGGAAGCTTTTGACGGAGGGGCCTCTCCATGCTAGTGAGGAAGCAGCAGCGGCTGACCTCAGGAACGACAGTAAATCGAGACTCGTCAGGTGCGGACTTCTGCTACACTTCGAGTCAACCATTGTGATATAGTCATCATCTTACACCTCCCAGCATGCTTGGAATCCGTGGATGTTTGGCAGTCAGCCCCGGATTCTGTGCCGGATACTCATGCTCAAGGTACCGTCGATCATCCCAAGCGCAAGCATGTGTTATGCCAACGAGATCCAAACGCTGCGTAGCTGTGTTGGGATGCTACCATGGGAGCTTACATTCGACCCCTCTTCACGAAAAACTGGTCGCACTATCGTACGTCATGTTGTGTTTTCCCAGACTCATGATGCAAGAGTCATGCAATCGAGGAATGGGGGAGTCGTCCGTGAGTGCGGCGGATATAATCGCTGTCGGAAACGACGGCAACGGCGACAGTTCTGGCAAGGTATGGCAGCATAGACTTACATTATGCCTCATGTCGATGTGGCGCTATCGAAGAGATGCCACACTAGAGAGCGGTCCAATAAGCGCACCACACATAGTGAAAAATGTCCTCCTTCTGCGGAGACTAGGTTGCGTCGCCTATTCTGCCTCGCTTGGAGGGCAACAGACACCGTTTTCACTCAGAATCCGATTGGACTCGTGACTTGTGTGTGCCCCCGAGGTTGCGCCCTTTGACTTGGTTTTCGAGTACAACCACGCCGTAGAGGGGTGGCAGGTGTTAAGTCGCCCGACAATATCGCGGCTTGGAGAGGTGGTTCACACGATCGGTGACTTCATGAGGGAGATGAGCCAGCTCGTTCAAAAGGAATATGCTAGGTGAGATGCAGACCATATCTGCTAAACAGGCAAAATATGAGGAGTATTGGTCCTGTAATACATGTTTAACTCGTTTGATAGACAACGAAACGCTCGTTAGCGGTGCACGGCGAACTTGGGGCAAGCCAAGTCTGTCCAGCATTGGAATGTCGGTTGGCACCCCAACATTTTGACCACCGAAAGCCCGATGCTGGGGAAGCATGAGGCGACGCGTGTCTGTGGTATCCGACACTACCTTTACATGGAATATAGCCTCCTCCCGTTTCCGGCGGGCAAGGAAAACTCTCACAAGTATCCTACCATGGAACGATTCGCGGCGGCTCTCCAACCTCTCACGCATGTCTCTCCCGCGGGTGCGGACCTGAGAAGCCCGCCGTTCCTGCACATGCCCCTGGACTTCAAGGCCTTGGAAAGTGTCGGCATCAACCCCGATCTGATCGCGTGGACAGGGGCGGATGCCACTCCCGCCTTGCGAGAAGGGGCTGAAGAGGTGTGGGTCCGGGAAACATGGTTCGCCTACGTCTTTTCAACTGTTTGAGTCCAACGGATCATGTCACAGCGAACGTGGACGGCGCTTGACTACGGTTTTTGCCCGATCTTTCATACTAGCTGGAGCTTTGTGCTCTGTTGGAGAAATGACCCGCGGTCCCCTCCCAACCGCTTCCCGACTCATCCACCCGTTCAGCATGTGAACGCGAGAAATAAGGACGATGTCCTGGCAAAACCGAAGGGTGCTCCCAAGGACAAGCTTTCCTACTACCGGGTGGCCCCTTTCTACTACTTCCAGGTTAAACCATTTATGATGAGGTATTCGTATTGTAGTTGATTTCGAACGTTTGCCCCACCCCACTTCGACTTTTGTCTCAATATCTTTTCTGTTGGAGCAACACTCGATGCGAGGTCACGGATTTGAAAAACCATCCCCGTGGCCGTCCACTTGTCGTCTTCCCACGACCTTGTCCTTTTCCAGAACCGACAAGCTTTGTTTCGCACGTGTTCGTAGGAGGCCGAACTACCGTAGTTTGTGCTCGACGGGCTGTACGCTAAAGTTAACTACATCGAATGATCGGTTGGGTGATTGGTTGCCTGATTGGCCCCCATCATGTTCTCTGTCTGTTTGCAGCTGTGTTTTGTTGTTGTTTTGCGACGAACTGGGACCACGTTTCCGCGGTGCCAAACGCACAAGACCCGGCGTGGCCAGTCTGGCCATCCGCTTCTGGACCATGCCGACTATTATTTGCGAGTGAGAGCGAGGTTGAACAGCACGCAAGGTTTCGGTTGTCGATGAAGTTCGGCGTCTAAAGCACGCCTATTTGCCTCTCACGCTCCCCACCCTGTATGCCGTTGGTCCCTCCGTAATCAGCGATGGCTGTGGGTTCAGTTTCCTTGGATGGCGTTGTCGGGAAGCGGCGCCAGTGTGGTGTCAGCGCGACTGCCCGGTGCGAGAGCAGCAACGACAGTGGCTGCGGAAGGGTTTGGAGGTGGTTGCAACTCCGGCGGTAGCGATCGGGGTGATGGAAAAGGCCCCTTGCCAGACAAATCACGCAGGCGAGGGAGAAAGCCCACGAGTAGTTCTGATAGCTTCAAACTCGTAGTGCTGTTATTGCCGTACAAAACGTTTCTAGTGCTGCCTTCCATGTGTTCACCCATTTCTGTCTGGATGTGTTCAAGGACGTGGTATACCACTGTACCGACATGTTTGGAGGTTAGACCGGGATGCCGTAATAACGGTGTCGTATGCGATAGGCAGGGCTTTGGGCCTCTGCAGAAATAGCACAAATCATATAGCACTCGTAAGGCTGCCATCTGATCTCGTGCCAGACTGATTCTGTATTTGCTGCACGCTGACTTATTCGGTGTCGATGTGCAATGATATTCTTGATTGTACGGATGGCAATAAAATACAGATTCTGGAGTGTAAAGCGGATAGATCCGTTTGGAGAGCCTTCGGTTAAAGTAAGCGAAGACCGACTGAGGTCACGACTCAAGGCGGAGGTCGGGAAATCGGTGACGACTACTCTACTGGTGAGGAGCGAACCCGTCCATGACAGTCGTAGACTCCTTAGGATGAGGAAATCGATGTCGGAAGGGGTTCAGCCTTACTGCTAGATAAAAAACGGATCCAGGCTGCCCCTTGGTCGCCGCCTAATACCAGTATGCGAACGCCTGCAGTGGCCAAGGAAACAAGCGCAAAGGCCCTTCACCAAAACGCAATGATGTCTTGGTTTTACCCGGCAGCGGATTTTTCATTCCTGTACTGGTACAGGACACGCAATCACACTACGACCTTCTAAACGACATCGGCGCCGGGATGGCGTCCAACGCGGCGCATCGGCGACACGCTCTTCGTGTGGAAGCAGAGGAGGCGTTCGGCAAACCATCTCGTGCTAAACAGCCGGTGAAAACAGTAGAGATGTAATTGTTCCAGGTTTTTCGCAGGAACGTGTAGTTCTGGGATGTTGTTGCTAAGTACACATTCACGATGCGGCTGCTGAACAGCTTGAAATATTGGTAGATTTGTCCACCTCGTTTTGCATCTGCGATAAGTTACTCAATACAACAGAACTACCAGGGGAAGACCATAATCCACCGCATCTGACAATCCAGGCGTTTGATAAATGTACACGAGAGCGTACGACCACGGTGCTTGCTCACAGTATGCGCCGGTTCTGTCTATGCGCAACACCTGGTACGACTTAAAACAGCGCACTTTGACTTCTGTGGGGAGCGCACCGCTGTCTACCAATAATGGTACTGGCGGCCGGGGCGGCTTCCTGAGTGAGGACGACTCCGACTTAAATTCGGTTATCGTGACGTCTCCTGCTGACCTAAAGTCACTAGGAATAGGGCGGTGAGAACACTTTAACGCGAACAATATAGCCAGAAGAGGCAAGATTAGAACGTCATGACATGTCGGGGAATCCTTTCTATTTCCGCGTTTCAATCGACTGTTGCCTTGTCGCAGTAGTGGATCACACAAGCACTCAGTGGGTGGAACGTTACATTTTCCTTCGCACGTATGCCATATCTCGCGCTGGTCAAACGTATTGCGTGATTGCGTGGCTTAGGGACGTTTTGGCTAGCATTGTCGCGGGCGGAGATCTTATGGGACAAGGCGGCGGCATAGCAAACGACGGGGATGGCAGTGCTGGGTCGAAGGCTGGGAGTGGCATAGGCGGAGGCCAAGGAAGAGGGCGCAAAAGCGGGCGTGGAGCTTCGCACTATCGCAGGGCACTTGCGGACGGACGAAAGGTAAATGCCGTGCACCGTAAACGGGGGTGAAATCAGTGGAATGTCAAGCAAGGTGCACACCGAGGGGTGCGATTATTGCAGATGAGCTTTGCGCGGGTCATTCTTCGGCACCCTCCACGAAGCGGGCAGAAAATAGTGGCAAGCGACTGGTTCGCGCCTGAAAGGCACAACATATCCTGGTCGGAAAGAGTCAGGATGGGGGTGTAACGTGTCGCTACAACAGGTTGTTCCCTGGTTAATATTAAGGATGAGTTTGTTGTTTTTTGAGCAAGTGTTGATGATCGATTCCCACTCTTTCCCGTACACGCGCTCGGGTGCTTCTTGCTCTATTTTGAACCATGCAGGCTATTAGCGTGCTAGCAGGCACAAACCCGCTGTCTCCGTTGCCAGGGAAAGCCTTGGTGGAGACTGGAAGCTTCCTAGGAACCAGCATCAGCATATTCCCGATGTCCGTTGACGAGGAAATGTGCGTCAACTTGTAAGGTGTAGCCACGACAAACAATCGAGAGGCCTAACAATACTTATGAACGTGAAAACGCGTTACAACAATGAGACCGCCTACCGCGTCTGTGCAAAGATCTACGGCTTGCCACCCCCTTTCGTTGTCGTAGTGTATTCACCTCACAAATTCAAGTTTTGAGAGTTCGGGGTCAGGCGCA